TCAGCTGCCTGCTGGGTTAAACCACAACATTTTGCCAGACTAAATGAGCTGGGCCAATGCCAAGGATAAAGGTAGCTAAGCATTCCCTGGTCTGTGCAAGCAGTTTGTGGCCCTCTTTAACACTTGGGCAGAGTGCTGAGAAATACTCCTTTCCGTAGGAATTTGCAAAAGGAAACAATACAATGCTAGAAATTTTTGGCGAAATTCACTAGTTTTACTGGTGGTTTTAAAAGATCCCTTTAACCTTAAAAGTGTATATTTTTCTGTAAACCACCTTGCTCTTTTTCCTTTGTGCTTCTGTATGCAGTTTTGGTTGGTTGCTTTTGAGCAAATTATAGCTGACAAATAGTCTGTTACAGTGGGCATGAGGAAATAAGGGACTATAAATGCCAGCTACCCATGAACACATAAAGATGACAAAGAAAACCAATGAACTAAGTCAGAAACGTCACCTGTTTGACTCAGATGGGACCACAGTACTGCCGCTGTATGAGGCTCCAACTTAGGAGCATTTACCTTATTCAAAATAGAACCTTTCAGCAAATATTATTGCCCTGTCTTAGGTCTGGGGGGAAGAAAAATATCAGAAAAATAAAAGTATTACCTGAAGGTAAAGAAGATTGACTGTGGCTTTGGGGTTTTTTTTTGTTTTCTTTTTTTTTTTCCCCTTGCACTCTATGAACAGGAAAGCAGAAGAAAATATTTTTGCATATTTGCAACTCAGTTAGTTCCTCCTTTGTCTTTCCCTTGGAGAGTTCATAAATAGTTTTAGTCAAAATAACTAGAACCTTCCCTTTGGCATTTTATTCCTTGAGAATGAGTTGTTTCAACAGACGAACAAAGAAACCTGAGGATGGCAAAAGCTGTTTTGACTGGTTTTTATTGTACACGTTAACTTATTAAAAATGTATAGAATCTGAATGCCAGACATAACCTACATTTCCTTCTACACTCTGGTCCTTTGCTTTTAACACATTTCTGTAGAGTATATGTGGATCATTCTTTTGCCACATTGCACATCTTGTGTTACTCCTCATACTCTATTATACAGAAGACAATCTCCTTCCAAAGGATATCTAAAATGAAGATGTATCTCACAGATTGAAGCTGCCTGCTGCTGTGCCTGCTGTCACTGCTCCTGTCACCAACATAAATGCTAGCAATCAGAGCAACAGTGAGGGAGACAGAGGTGGTGACAAAAGCAATCGTGTCAGGAAAAGCAGCAGCAGTAGTACCACATACCCAGTTGCCATAATTTACCTGTATGGGGAAAGCTCAGCTTATGCACTGCTGTATTTTAAAGCCTGGAGAATAAGACATTGCTTATCTTTTTATTGTCTGATCTCATGAAGGTTTATGTGCATGTTCAGCTTCCTACATTCAAGCAGAAGCTGACTTCAGAAAGACTCTTCACAGAGCATTAAGTTAAAAATCAATGTGTGTGCACAAACTCCCTTCCTTACGTACAAGAAAAACCTTTCTTAAACACAAGGCCAATCTGATCAGTTACCCTGCATCTTTAGTGAACATTCCGCCTGTTTAGTGAAGTGATGATAACTTATTTTTCAAGTTTGGGGGGGTGAGGTATGTGCCGGGGACCAGAAAGAAAAAGCAACAGAGCTATGTCACAATGCTATAATAACCTTTTAAACAAGCAAATCAAATAAAAAGTGCAACTAGTGCCCAGGGGTTCAAAGTATGTTTATGATTGAATTATCTCAGTTGCTCATATTTTTATGTTAAACTGTTTGGTTATAACTTTAAAGCTAAATTTAAAAGAGAAATAGAATTAAAAAAAGGTTTTGGTTTTTTTAATACAGAATCAAATAAACTAGGCAACTTAATTTCATACAAAAATTCTGTACTGTGCTAAGAGCTGATGAAGAACCTAAAATTAGAAAACTGGACTGAAGACTGCTGTAAAAAAGAAAGTGTTTTAAAGATAATGTCCAAGTAACTAAAAAAAAAAAGGAAAAAGACCTTGTATAACACTTAATTTGAATATTGCAAGGGAGCTCATTAGCTGACTGAAAAAGTTTTAAAGTTCACTCGATTTTATAGTCCATACCCTGAACTGTCCTGTATTTCAGGCTAACCGTAATGGGACTTGATTCTTAAGCTGTGCTGGATTCAAAATAACTGAGTTCAGTTTCCAGATCTCCTATGAAGACCTTCATTGCTTTCAGCAGGTCTGAACCTCAATTTTTCATGATTAAAATGGAACATAATGCTTTTTCCAGTATTTTGAAATAAGAGAAGAGATTGTTTTTATTATGTGCTGCATGATGCCTAGCACAAAGGATCCCCAATCTCCTTTAATATCTCTTGGCTCTGTTAAAAAATAGATAAATAACCTCATAACTATGTTTGGGGCTCTCCAGTATTGGTTGAACAGTTCCAGGAGCTGTCCTGGAGGAGATAGATTCCCTTCCTGCTTAGCTAGCTGTTGTACCTCCCACGAGGCCCATATGAGCCAACAGCACACAGGTTATGAAGCCAACAGGAGCAACTCTTTTGTGGAGTCTGCCTATTCCTGCTCACATTGCAAATGAGTGAAAATAGGGGAATGCTCTTTATACTTCACATAAGCAAGATCTGCTCACTTAGTGAAGATGTAACTGACTATACTGTGAAAGAAGATATCCATATCTAGACTATACAGTAACAGTATGGGCTATATTCATAGATATAGTCAACATATGACTGACTTCCTGCTTACTCAGCCTAGGTCATGTTAATTGAAACCCACTTTTCTCCTTAGACATAACAGCTCCTGGTAATCTACAATAATGTTCCACTATTACTTCAGAAAAATAGCTCTGATCATCACTTCAGTGATAAAGATTGGAATCCAGCATTGCCAAGTGGGTAATCCTGGAGTATCACAGAATCACAGAATGGCAGGGGTTGGAAGGGACCTCTGGAGACCATCTAGTCCAATCCCCCTGCTAAAGCAGGTTCACCTAGAGCAGGTTGCACAGGACATCAACCAGGTGGGTTTTGAATACCTCCAGAGAAGGAGACTCAACAAACACCCCTGGGAAGCCTGTTCCAGTGCTTTCTCACCTTCAAAGGAAAGAAGTTCTTCCTCATATTCAACTGAAACCTCTTATACTTCAGTTTGTGCCCATTGCCCCTTGTCCTGTCGCTGAGCACCACTGAAAAGAGTCTGGATCCATCCTCGTGACACCCACCCTTGAGATATTTGTAAGTATTTATGATCTCCCCTCTCATTCTTCTCTTCTTCAGGCTAAACAAGCCCAACTCCCTCAGCCTTTCCTCACAGGGGAGATGCTCCAGTCCCCTCATCATCTTTGTAGCCCTCCTCTGGACTCTTTCTAGGAGTTCCTCATCTTTCTTGAACTGGAGAGACCAGAAATGGACACAGTACTCCAGGTGGGGTCTCACCAGGGCAGAGTAGAGGGGGAGGATAGCCTTCCTTGTCCTGCTCACCACGCTTGTCTTAATGTGCCCCTGGATACCATTGGCCTTCTTGGCAACAAGGGCACACTGCTGGCTCATGGTCATCTTGTCATCCACCAGGACTCCCAGGTCCATCTCAGCAGAGCTGCTTTCCAGCAGGCCAGCCACCATTGGCTTTCTTGGCAACAAGGGCACACTGCTGGCTCATGGTCATCTTGTCATCCACCAGGACTCCCAGGTCCATCTCAGCAGAGCTGCTTTCCAGCAGGCCAGCCCCCAGCCTGTACTGGTGCATGGGGTTCGACCTCCCCAGGTGCAGCACTCGACACTTGCCCTTGTTGAACTTCATCAGGTTCTTCTCCGCCCAACTCTCCAGCCTGTCCAGGTCCCACTGAATGGCATCACAGTCTTCTGGTGTATCAGCCAATCCTCCCAGTTTTGTGTCATCAGTGAACTTGCTGAGGGTACACTCTGTCCCCTCGTCCAGGTCATTGACGAATAAGTTGAACAAGACCGGGCCAAGTACTGAGCCCTGGGGAACTTCACTAGCTACAGGCCTCCAACTAGACTCTGTACTGCTGATCAGAACCCTCTGAGCCCTGCCATTCAGCCAGTTCCCAATCCACCTCACTGTCCACTCATCCAAGCCACACTTCCTGAGCTTCCCTATGAGGATGTTATGGGAGACAGTGTCAAAAGCCTTGCTGAAGTCAAGGTAGACAACATCCACCGCTCTCCCCTCATCTACCCAGCCGGTCATGCCATCGTAGAAGGCTATCAGACTGGTTAGGCATGATTTCCCCTTAGTGAATCCATGCTGGATACTCCTGATCACCTTCTTTTCATCCACTTGCTTGGAGAGGACACCCAGAATGAGTTGTTCCATCACCTTTCCAGGGACAGAGGTGAGACTAACTAGCCTGTAGTTCCCTGGGTCTTCCTTCCTGCCCTTTTTGAAGACCGGAGTGACATTGGCTATCCTCCAGTCCTCAGACGCCTCTCCTGTTCTCCAGGACCTTTCATGATGAAGAGTAGCTCAGCAATGACATCTGCCAGCTCCCTCAGCACTCGCGGGTGCATTCCATCAGGGCCCATGGACTTGTGGCTGTCCAGCTTACTTAAAAAATCCTTAACCTGGTCCACCTCAACTGAGGCAAGGTCATGCTTTCTCCAGGCTTGCTTGCTTACCTCCAAGGACTGGGAAGCCTGAGGGCTTGGTTAGTCATTTCAGGAAAGATCTAAGAGTGTGCTCCAGCTAACTTAGTCACCTGTAAAGACATAAATTCAAGTAGTTGAAAATCAAGTAGTCTGAAAATCAGAAGTTATGTACATCACATGGTCATGAATAACAGGTGAAAAAAGGAAATCACTGAAGCCCATGAAAGA